ACATAATGTATAGAAGACTAATGGAGATAGTGTCAATGCATTGAATGTGATAGATTCATTATGAATGAATCTTAGAGATGCATTATGTATCTATTATGAATGTAGAAAATATATTAATCTATCTAATGAGTTCATCAATATAGAAGATGCATTATGTATCATGAATGTAAAAGGACTTTGCAAAGAAGACCAAGACAATGCGTTTGAAATGCTTGCTGCAGTGTTGTGGCTGGGAAACATATCATTTCAAGTAATTGACAATGAAAATCATCAGATTTTGTAGAAATGTTTTTGCTGCTTGTTGCTTTTGGCTTAATAGCAAGTGACGAATATAGTGCACAGTGCACAACAGAATTGGGAGACGCAAAATCTGAAAATTGTTGCTCTTACCAAAGATATGATTTGCTTGCTCCCTAGGTCCGGAGCGATTTAGGAAACACAGACGATACTTTTTTTCATTTTTTTGTAAATCATAAATGTTTTGTTTTTCAAGTTACTTTGTAATTAGCTAGAAATGAACTACATGTTTTGGATAATAGAGTCAATGATATTGTGTTGTTATGGGGCATGACTTGAATTGCAGAGATCCAGATATACTTTGTTGTTGGGTATAATCACTGATGTTGAATAAGGGGTGAACAACCCATAGAGATCAAGAGATTGATGAATTGCTGGTTTTAAAATGTAGAACATTACTTGATTTGCAGGTTTTAAAATGCTACACACTGAAAAAATGACAGAAAATAAAATGTGAACATATTCATTCTAGGTATACTTGCAACTGCACTAATTTAGAATCCCCCCCCCCTAAAAACCCCCCCCCCCCCCCAAAAAAAAAAAAAAAGTGGCGTTTTTGGGGAAAACGCCACAAAATGACGGCATTGTCACCACAAATTAAAAAATTAAAAAAATAAAAAAATAGTGGCGTTTTTTGAAAAAACGCTACTAAATGACGTTATTGTGACGTCACACGTTAATTTGGGACGGAGGGTGAGACGGTCGTCAAAGATTTTGTGGCATTTTAAGAAACGCCGTATAATATTTTTAGCGACGTTTTTTAAACGTTGGGTAGCTATTGCGGCGGCCCTATCAGCGGTGAAAATTTTACACGTCACTATAAGATATTACGACGTTTTTCAGGCTTTTCGCGGCATTTTCAAAACGCCGCTAAAAAACAAATTTCCTGTAGTGTTTGATGTGAATTATCAAAACATGTGAATTTAATACTCAAGCGAACATCAAAGAAAAACAAGAAAAATAGCCCCAAGAGAAAACCCTAGAGCCCTCAAAACAGATTTGAAAAACTTAACCCTAAAACTGACTTAAACAAATACTCATAGAAAATAGGGGCCGCGAAGGTCGCTCGAGCGAGGAACCAAGTACGCGTGTATTCCTTAAGTGGCGTCGCTCGAGCGTACAATCTTCCTTCCCAGAATATTTGCAGAGAAGAAAACTTTTATGAGCACAACTTCTTCACTCGAGCCAGGACTTCTTCGCTCGAGCGAGCAAGGCAAAACAACTAGGAAACTTATAACTCGATAAACAATGTTTGTTCGTTGTATTAACAAAACTAAGGGATCTAACAATTTGGTCCCAAAAAATATACATATCAAGTTTAAACCAGAATTCTTATCCACAAGTTAGGCCTTGAGCAATAAAACGGCTTGGCACAATTTCAAACTAGAACTTGAGCAAAAAAATTAAGCTTGCATGCTAACCCAATTAAATCTATAGATACTAGTATATATAGATAGACCTTTTTTTTCTTTTTTTCTTTTTTTTAAGAGTTAAAAATTTCAATTCATTTTTCTTATAATTTTAAATTTATGAAATATTAATATACATATGACTCTTTAATCAATATCACAATAATTTTAAAATCATTGTAAGTCATGGTTTTCAAGTACCGATCATACACACACATCTACAACTTTTACTATTATAAAGCAAAATGTTGTTTAAAGTAATAATAATAATAATAATAATCACTCGCTTTTTGAGAGGTTATAAAATAAAAATAAATGATTTAAAATGAAAACTAAACATCATTACTTCAAATAATTAAGACAGATATATTTTAATTGGAAGAATTTTTCCTAAATATGGCTTAATGTGGCTTATACATAATTATATTAGATTCATCTCATTAAGTAAGATACATGTACATCAATTAGATTATGACTAATCATTGATGAATGCACCTGTATATACATAATGTATAGAAGACTAATGGAGATAGTGTCAATGCATTGAATGTGATAGATTCATTATGAATGAATCTTAGAGATGCATTATGTATCTATTATGAATGTAGAAAATATATTAATCTATCTAATGAATTCATCAATATAGAAGATGCATTATGTATCATGAATGTAAAAGATATGTTAATCTATTTAATGAAGTTCATTGAATGAATAGATTCTTTGATGGGAAGAATACTAGTATAAATAGTGTAATGTCCCAAACCACACTCTTGATCACAAAAACTCAAGTTCAAGTTGTCACCACAAGAAGGCTCCTATCGCCTAGAGAGAAAGAAGTGGTTTGAAGATCTTAGACAAATAAAGAACTTGAAGATCAAGGTCTCCTATTCAAGGTTTCTTTTTCTCAAAAAAAGTTTTCATACTATCATAGATCAAGGTGTGTATACACTTATTTATATAGTAGAAATTTATATAGTTTTCATGTATAGAATTGAATCCTTAATGATTTTTAGTTTATGTTCCGCAAAGTTTTCTATCATTAATAAGTTAAAAATTATGTCTATTTTTTTTTCTCTAAAAAGAATTTCCGTGGGTAGACTGCTATTTCAGTATAGTAGGATTAGTCAAGAAAATGCTTAAATTATATAGGTTTGTCATCCGAAGATTTTTTAAAAAAATTTAATACTTGCCTCCTACGATATTCTCATGTCTATAGCTGAAAATGGATAGTTACCCATATGAACAAATAGCATTTAAAGCAAAAATTTGAAACATAAAGGCAAGTGAAAGGACTTTTATCAACTTGGATAACACAGTTCTCATTTTGAAGTTGTAATCTTCACACTTTATCTCTACACGTGTTTCTTTCTCTCTTATATATTCTTCTTATTTGTTTTAGTTCTCCTTTCTCTTTTTTTTTTTTTTTTTTGAAAAATGTTATGATGTGCATCCCTTTAGCAGTGTATAACATATGCACCTACTACAAAGATATGTAATTTTACTATAAAATTTCGTAATATCAACCACAAAATGCATAATATCACCACAAATTGCTGTAAAAAAAAATGTCCACAATTTCGTGGTTGATATTATAAAAGTTTATGACTTGGTTACGACTTTTAATACTCTCCCTTTCTCTTCATAATTTTCTACATCACTTTCATTTACAAGCTTCAATCAATGGAAGATTTCATCGACTATTCATTGAACAAGAATCTTGATTCCACCAAGCAACAACTCATCACTGTCGCTTGAGAAAACCATGTCACAATTAATCCTCATACATGGTAAGGTTATTTGCCTGCTAGAATTTTTGCTTGGAATTTGGGTTATGTGATTGTTTTTTAGAGACTAATTGCTATCGTGTGTTTGTATAGGAACATATATAGATATATACATGCCTTTTCAATTTATATTAGTTATGTTTTACTTTGCTACAAAAGCTTTGGAGCAAAGGTTTTGCTTATCATCTTTGTTATTAGTGAATTTTTGGTAACTGTTATTCACTCTAAACATTCTATTTTGTTTTATCTACTTTGTTCCCTAAGAGTTGTGGCTAATGTATGGATCTCATTCTTAGAGAAAAATATATGAATTTCATATTTTCAGCCAAGCAAAAGTCCAAATTATCTTGAAGTTAGCTCATTTCAAAAATTGAGGTTTCGATTTTGTGCATTTAAATTATTTTAGATGTATTTTTTGGTGTTGAATCTATGTCAAAAAGCAAATTGACATAATAAACCCTACATTTTTTTAATGAGATTACAATAATGGGTAGTTAAATTATTGGGACCTAGGTTATTCTCATGTAAAATTCCCTCTTGTATAACTTGTTCTAGTTCCCATGTAAGTTTGTTCTTGTATGCTGGATTTCAGATTCAAATTATTCTATGAATGCAGTTTTTCTATTTTGTGCTGTTAAATCTCCCTACATTTTTATTTATTTTTTATATTTTATTGTTTTGACTTGGATTCTGAGAGTTTTGGGACTCACTTTGTTTGGTAATCTTGATCGTATATTTCCAAGCTCTGTATTGTAAGCTTCACTTGCTTGCTGTATCAGTTAAAAGGTGTCTGATTTCTTGAAAAATTTATTTACAAGTTGTGTGTTCTTTCTCTACTTTAGTGATCTCTAAATTGAGTAATTAGTTTCATGGCTTTGTGTTGCAAATACATTGTCAAAGAGTCTTGTTGCTAAATGCTGGGTTGCAGAAACATATTCTGTTTCTGTAAAAATCATTAAAAATCAACATGCATACTATCAACAGGCACTTGTTGAAGTTTCTATTCTGACAACGGTAATTAATTCTTATTCAGCTGGGTTCTATCATATATAATGATTATGAATATTTTTGTTCTTGCTTATTTTCTGTGTGCAG